AAGCAAGGATATTCAATTCATCTTCAAGAAAGTGGATGTGTTATCTTTGACACATCAGGAACTGTCATGGGATCTGGTAAGCTACGAAATAGCTTATACATACTTGATGCAAGTTTAAAGAATGATAAATTCCATGATGTCAATATGGTTAAAAAAGATCATCAAGAGGATTTATGGCATCAGAGGTATGGTCATTTGAGTATAAAGAATTTGCAATTATTGAGAGATCACAAATTGGTTAATGGGTTGGATTTTGAGTCTACAAAAGAACCTAAGTTCTGTGAAGGTTGTGCAAAGGGCAAACAGAATCGAATTTCATTTCCCAAAGGACAAGCAACTCAAGCAAAGGAAATTCTTGAAATCATTCACAGTGACGTTTGTGGACCTATGCAAGAAAACAGTTATGGTGGTAGTCGTTACTATGTTACCTTTATTGACGATAAGTCCAGATTCACAGCTGTTTACTTTATAAAAAGAAAAAATGAGGTATTAGAGAAGTTTAAGGAATATGAAGCTATGGTGACAAATTTCACAGAGAAGAAGATCAAAATCCTTAGATCAGATAATGGCGGTGAATATAGATCCAAAGAGTTCATGAACTATCTTAAAGAAAAGGGAATTCAACATCAATTAAGTGTACCTAGAACACCACAACAGAATGGTGTATCCGAGAAAATGAACCGAACTATACAAGAAGCGGCTAGGTCCATGATGTGTCATGCAAATCTTGAGAAAAGGTTTGGGCTGAAGCTGTATGCACAGCAGTCGTTATTAGAAATCGAAGTCCTACAGCAGCTGTTAATGGAATGACACCTTATGAAAGCTTCTATGGAAAGAAACCAGATGTATCGCATTTTAAGGTATTTGGATGTACTGCCTATATGCATGTATCAAAGGAAAATAGAAAGAAATGGGATTCGAAAACAAAAAGATGTATATTTGTTGGTTACAGTCTTTCAAGTAAAGGATATAGACTTTTTGACCTTGAGACTCAAAAGGTTTATATATCCAGAGATGTCTTGTTTAATGAAGATGAATTTATCAAACAAACAAAGAAAGAAATAGTTGATCTCAATGAAATGAATTCAAGATTTATTAAAGAAGAATTTACGATCACTAATCTTTCTTTACCTTCACCGAATCATAAAGACGATACCACAATAGATCCTAATCAAGACATGAATCAGTCAAACATTTTGCAAGAAACAGAAATCGAAGAACAACCACGACGTTCATTTCTTCAACGAAAACCTCCAGAAAGATATGGGACAGTGATTACTGGAAATTGGTGGGAAAGTAACACAGCATTCATAAATGAAGAGCTAAGTTTAACAGAACCCACAACCGTAGATGAAGCTCTAACTGGTCCTGATAAGAAGCATTGGAAATATGCCATGGATGATGAATACGCAGCTCATATCAAGAACAAAACATGGACATTAGTTGATCTTCCCGAAAAACGAAAAACTATCAATTGTCGTTGGGTATTTAAAGTAAAATACAACGTGGATGCATCTGTAGAGAGACATAAAGCTCGTCTGGTCGCAAAAGGTTTTTCTCAGGAACCAGGTTTGGATTATGACGAAATTTTTTCGCCTGTTGCAAAGTATAAATCAATTCGTTCTTTGTTGGCAATTGCAAACCAGCTTAATTTTGAGATACATCAAATGGATGTTTCCACAGCCTTTTTGAACGGTGAATTGGAAGAAGAAATTTACATGTCCCAGCCTGAAGGATACATAAAAAAGGGAGAAGAAAAACTCGTCTGTAAACTGAACAAGAGCATTTATGGATTGAAACAGTCATCACGATGTTGGTACATCACCATCGACCAATTTTTGAAAGGTTCAGAATATCTACAATCAAAATCAGACCCTTGCCTGTATATAAAGCGAGAGGGAGATGATATTATGGTTATTGCCTTATACGTTGACGACATAATTCTAGCCAGTAATAATTTCAAAATATTGCAAAGAGAAAAGGAAGCATTAAGAAAACGTTTTGAAATGAAGGATCTTGGAGAAATAAGTTGTTGTCTTGGAATTCAAGTTGAACGAGACAGAGAAAGAAAAAGAATGAAATTACATCAATCGAAATATCTTACTAATTTATTGGCAAAGTTCGGTATGGATCAGTGTAAACCAGTTGCAACACCTGTTAGTCAAGGAGCAAAGTTGCTACCCAATCAAGAAGAGCCAGTTGAAACTACTAAGTATCAAGCGTTGATTGGAGGATTGACATATGCAGTTTTACTGGAACAAGACCTGACCTTGCACAAGCACTGGGAATAGTAAATCAATTTTGTTCGAAACGCGGAAAAGAACACTGGATAGCTGCAAAACGTATATTGCGATACGTCAAAGGAACAATTGATTACGGAATTGTTTATGATGGAAAGAAAGAAGTTGATATAGACTTAAAAGGTTATGTTGATGCAGATTGGGGAAGTAATCCAAATGGAAGGAAATCGCAATCAGGATATCTGTTTACTTTATGCGGAGGAGTAATCAGTTGGGCTAATAAAAAGCAAAGTGTCGTAGCACTTTCATAAACGGAGGCAGAATATGTTGCTGCATCTTTGGCTTCTCAAGAAGCAATGTGGCTACGTGCACTGCTTTCAGACTTAAGTTTTGTTCAAAGAAAACCCACTCCGATTAAAGAAGATAATCAAGGAGCTATAGCATTATCCAAAAATCCAAAGTATCATCCTCGAACCAAGCATATCTATATCAAATGTCATTATATCCGTGATAGAGTATCTAATAAAGAAATACCTCTTGACTATTGTCCTACAGATGAAATGTTAGCAGATTTGCTGACCAAACCATTAGGCAAGACGAAATTTCAAAGTATGAGAGAACTCATGAAAGTTAGAAGAACTCTTTAAATGTTTAATTGATTAGTTACAGTTCATATTTTTCGAGAGGGAGTGTTAAAGATTATAATGCATCACTTTACGAAAAATAGAACGCTAGTTCGTATTCACATATATAGTTCAGTCTATTTAGTCACGTGATATTTTTGTATATATAAACTATTGACATTCCTCTGAGTCGTTCGTTACGATTATAGTTTTGTATTGAATCCTCTTATTTAATTAGCTCACTACATTAAATAAATGTTTGCTCTAACCAAACAACTTTGCTAAATATTAACACATGGCGTCGAATCAAGGTAAGTGACAAGCAAAATTTTTCATCAATTCTTTTTCTTGACTTTTAACTGAAAAGGAGTAAATTTTCACTCATTCTCGAAGATTCCGCAAGTGTTCAAAATAAACTTCAGTGCTCAGCGACTTTAAAGCCAAAAAAAGATCAAGTTACCACTGTTGTGTGCCTCTATGTAATGGAGATTCCAGATATCACCAAGACCTGAAGTTCCATCGCATTCCAAGTGCCAATGACGGCAAAGAAACCCGTAAACTTTGGCTGGTCAAAATCTGAAGAGACGAAGGGCCTGATTTCAAGGTAGCTTTGTATTATTATAAAAAGCTCTTGCATATTTCTTCAGTGAATCTTAGATAGTGCATCATTTGTAAATAAATACGCACTAATGCTATGTTTTGTTTTAACTTTATAAGATATCAAGCAGCACAAGGGTTTGCTCGAGACACTTTTTAGAGGACGATTACCTACCTCCTGATAATGCAGGACGGTGTTTATTAAAAAGGGTCTGTTCCCAGCCAATTTGACTGGTCTTCAATGACTCCAAAAGAAGAACTAATTAGCACTTGTACTGGGTATGGAATTGTCAATAATAAGTTTATATTATCGCCTTCACCTGTACCGTTTCTTAATGATTAAAATGTTATTTGCTTTAGAGAGACACAAACTGAAGAAACTGCAATTGAAGAAACTGGCAGTGAAGTGTGCACAGTCGATCCTTTGCTAAAAATGCAAGAAGAGTTGGAAGGATTAAGATTGGAGGTAATTCTGAAAACCCAAGAATTAAAAAAAAGTAAGGAAGAAACAGCTTCTGTTATGGAAGAAATGAATGCATTCAAGGCCCAAGCACATAAAGAAATTGAAAATACCAAGAAGGCTGCTGCCGAGGAGTTAGCACTATCCAAATTTGGTTTAGAAAGATTTTCAACTAACAATGACTTAGATTCTACACAGGATTTGTTTCTTATGAACACATTAAGGCTTTTTATGAAATCATAAAACCAACTGCTGAGAGAATGACCTATTGTTATGCTACAGGAGATAGAGAAAGTCGTCCAAAAGCACGAACCATGCTAGTTATAGACGAGTTGTTTATGTTCCTGGTTCGTATTAGATTGGGCTTATTTGAGCAAGACCTTGCTCATAGATTTAAAATACATATATCCTCTGTTAGCCGAAAAATAGTTACATGGAGCAATTACTTATATTTCATGTTGGGATGTCAAGTAATCTGGCCTTCTAGGGAAAATGTCAATAATTACATGCCCCAGTGTTTTCGTAGGCTTTACCCAAGTACTAGAGTTATAATAGATTGCACAGAAATTTTCGTACAAACTCCCAGCTCCTTATTATTACAGTCACAATTATACTCAAGCTATAAAAGCAACACTACCCTTAAAGGTTTGGTTGGGATCTCTCCTCATGGGGCAGTCTCTTTTGTATCTGGGTTATATATTGGAGCAATCTCAGATAAAGAAATAACTAGGTGTTGTGGCATCTTAGATTTAATTGAGGAGGGAGATTCAATATAGGGAGACAATGGTTTTGATATATAATATCTGTTATTAGAAAAGAAAGCAATACTTAATATTCCCCCCTTCTTAGAGAGTAATGTTCAGTTTACTCAAAATGATGTTCAAAAAACCAAAGAAATTGCAAGTGTCAGCATACATGTGGAAAGGGCTATCCGAAGGATAAAAGAGTATCATATTTTTGATTCTGATATACCACTTACTTCATTGGGGTCAAATAATCAAATATACACAGTTGCATGTTTGCTTACCAATTTCCAAGGCCCACTAATTTCTGATCCTAGTAAGAATTAACAATTGTAAATATTGGATTACAGTTGTCTTGTCAAAAAGAATTAAATGTAGCTAAAAAACATGTAACAGACTATGACTATGAGAATAAAAGAGAGATTTTCACAAAATTGTAGAAAATTATCACAAGTTTACGACAATCACTTTAAAAAATATTGAAAATAAAAACCATCAACCTTATTTTTTGCCTCTTGAAAAAAGTCTTTGTTAAATTTAATCCTATTGCAAACAAAATGTGTGTCACTTATGTAGCTAAAAAAGTCACACCACTCAAGACCTGTCAAAGCTAACTGACACTGTACTTGGTAAAAGTAAATATCAGTGTTCTTCAAAATAAAGTCATTTGTAGCCACATTTTTTGAAAGATATCTAACATTAGCAAATTCATTTTCACCTTCCTTGACAACTTTGATTTCCAACAATCCAAAAGGGTTGCAACAACTCTCAGCTGCTTGTAGGTCATATACCAATCGGTCTGGACTGCAGCCCAACCAAGGACATCTGGGATGAATAATTAACCCAGAAGGAAATAGATTCACAGACCCATTCTTAGCAACATTAGCATAGGCCATTGCAGCTGTAGATTCTAAATCAATGCCTCTTTTCATAGCTGCAGTTATGACATGACGAGATGGATTGAGCTGTTTTACAAGATTTTCAAAATCTCTCGACCGTCTTGCAACAATCCCAAACTTACTTGCTGTGATTCTTTTACTTCTTAACATATGCCACAAACTGTTTGCACTTTGAGTGATTGTTTTCTCTTGGATATCAAGTGACTCTTCTTGAGTAATCATTATAGCATCTAAAGAAGCTTGTTGTTGCTTTGTGAGACAACTGGAACAATTATTCTTAAATCTCATTTCCGCTGAAGCCAATGGTAGTTTTGGAAAGTTGGTACAACTGAAATCATTGATAACATAGTCTTGAGAGAGCTTTTGCTGGTAAGAAAGAACACATCCTTTAGGAACTTCTCCAAATTTACTTTGCACAAGTGGGATACTTGCAAGGTTCTTTTCACTTGGAAGTATACTTGCTATTAATGGTTTGCTTTCAAAATCATCAAAATTTTCTTTTGTCATTGGTAAATAAACATTTGAAGGTGAATATAGTGTGCTTTTAATAAATTTGGTGAAATTAGCCCCTGCTCTTGGTTTTTTGACAAGCACATCTTGAATCTTCTTCTCTTCTATCTTTTTTCCTCTGGGTACACTCCATCTTTGAGGCATACTAGTGCATGTCAATGAATCGGGCAATGAGCGAAGACCTAGCTGTTTGCAATGGGCTAGAAAGAACAGCAATCCAACGACATGATGGCAGTATCCCCCAACACCAGCTACACATGAACACCTTGCAGAAATTGAACTGTTAACAATGTTGATCTTGGTTTCAAGTACATGTGGAGGCTCATTTTTCTTCATTGATCGATAGCATCGAGCATTTATGACAGCTAAATCATCCTTGGTTGTAACTGACAAAAGAATATTAAAATTTTTATGAGATCAAATTAATCACACTCTGAAAGTAAGCTTAGTAACTAAAGAAAACGCGAACAATGATTGGCAATTCACCTTTCATTTCATGTAAATATCCAGGTTCAGCAAAAAACTTGTAGGCCTTTGCGGTACTCTGACATCCTGACAACTCTTTTGCATACTTCTCGACAAATGCAAAAGTCAAGTTAGGAAGAGAACTTATGTCTTTACTTTCGGTACACGAATCATCTGGAGAAGCATGCATAAAAACATGAAAATACATTAGATTAATCATTAATACCTTCCCGAAAGCCAAATCTCCTACTTGTGACTCATTTTTCGATTAAAAAAAGTCAAGAAAAAGAATTGAAAAATTTTGCTTTTCACATACCTTGATTTGACGCCATGTTAGTGTTGTCTAGCCGAAATCGCCACAAAAACAAAGAAAATTTACTCTACATATTAAATTGCCTTGTACTCGCCATTGTTTAATGGAAAGCGTGCTCTCCAGTATGGCGTTACCTAAGCACGTGACCTCTAGCTGCAAAAGGCCTGTTGAGTTAAATTTTCCACTTGAGCGACACATCTTGGCGTAATGATTTAATTTTTTGCATTTATTACATTGCCGACCAAACGCTAGACATTTTTGTTTAGGATGTTTGTTTCCACAATGCATGCATTTCTTTTCTATGTTATTTTCATCACAATTTTCCTTTTGCCTTTTATCAACGTGTTGTCTTTTAGAGATGTTTTCTTGTCGTGAATGACGAGGCCTGTGGATACAATTGATTTCTTTGTCGTTATCAAACAGTTTTAATTGTTGTAACGACAATTCATCCGCTTGACAGATTTCAATCGCTCAAGTGAGTTTCAATTTGGGTTCTCGAAGAAGTCTTTCCCTGACTCTTTTTGAGATGATACCACTGACAATTCTGCTGCAAGTTAGGTCCTCCTTAATCTCACCCCACTCGCAACTTACTGCCAAGGTCTTAAGTTCAGTTACATAATGGTCGATGGTTTCCGACTTTTCCTGATTTCTTGTCAAGAATCTATGTCTCTCCACAATTAAATTTTTCTGTGGTTTACAATATTGTTCAAATTTCTGAAATAGTATTGGTTCTGCCACTATTTGTAAGCCATCTTTATCTAATTCGAATTAAAAGGTATAAGTAATACTGTATACTCCGCCTCCATTTTGACCAAACTTCTGATAGATTTGGCATTTCAAAATTGAGTTTGCCTGGTCCTTTTATATCGTTAATTATTGCGATCCTAATCCTGACACCATGTAATATTTTTTATTTTTTTCGATTTGTCTCTGACTCTGTCAGTCAGACTACTCCCTATGTACACAATAACAGGTTTCTTATATAGATAAAAATTAGCATAAATGTATATTAATCATGTTTTATATCAATATATTACAATGATGATCATGATGATGATTGGTGTGACAATTGCATAGCAACTGCATGTTGATACCTTTGCTAAAGATGATGATGTGTAATGATTGCTTACTGACTTTAAAAAGGATGGTGGTGTGGGCTGAAAGGAATGGGGTTCCTTGGAGTAATATTGTAATATCCTTGGTGGGTCAGGTTCGGGACCTGGTTGCTTAAGCTTGCACCTAACCATCCATGTGGTAAGTACGGTAATGACACATATTAATTTAGGTTACATAGTAACCAAGGTTAATATCAGAGGAACCAGCAACAGCATGGGACTGAATGACGTAGGAAGGCATATAAGTAACTAAGTGTAAATGAGGTGACCATTATTCAACACATTCGTAAGCTGATCGTCCTAGAAAAATTTTTTCTTATCGAAATAGTTTTTGATGTGATAAGGTGCAAGTATGTGGTGGTCAGGGTGAGTTTTGCATGGTGTATGTATTTACGTCACACAATGTTTTTGTTTTTCCATTTTTATTGTCGGATGTGGACAGTGTGTTTGAGTCGTATCTTCTGGTTCCAGATGTTGACCATCTGCTGCCTTGAACAATTTGCATTTCAGACGTTGACAGTCTGCTGGGTTGACGAATTTCCATTTCAGACATGGACGGTCTGCTGGGTTGAAAAATTTTCATTTCAGACATACTTTGAAACTAACATAACATGACTAAAGAATAGCACTTGCTTCCATCTGTAAAAAATTAGTTGTTGAAAATGGTAACCTTTTGAAAAACAATCCAATTCTCATTTCCGAATGCAGATTGTTTTATAATTACACAGTTTCTGGAAGCAGTTTCCACTCCATCTGAGCCTCTGCAGATCTTTTCACTATTTGCATTTGCTCTGAAATAATGGCTTCGCCCATTGACCAACCCAATGTTGAGAGACTTAATTTCTTATCTCACTCCATTCATTTGGAAACAGAACTCCGCAATCTTTTAGCAAGGCATAAAACCATTTCAGTGCCATTCAGTCTTACTCCACTTGAGCTTGACTTAAATGTCACTTTTGGATTTACGCAAGTAACTAGAAATAAGAAATGTAACAATTACTTTATGAATTTGGTCTATGGGCAATTAATTATTGAATTTATTACATACGTTTTTTCAAGATAGTTTGTGCTCTATTGACTTCATTACTAAGTCCACAATAATTGGCTGTTCTGTTTGAAGCATTGCATGAGACACTTGCACTTGGTTGGTCTGGAATTGCTTTATCCACACTGGCTTGGATAGAGATCATCAATACTTACCAGCCGTATATTACCAATGTTATAATTGTGCAAGTAGTCATTGGCTATTGCTCAATTTTTTCATGTTATGTGGTTAAGGCACTTACCATCTCAGCAAATGCTACCAAAAGTGCATGAATTCTTAAACAGCGCTCGTCGATGTTTGGTGCTTTAATGGTAAATTGTTGATGAAGCTCATTAGTTCTCGTTATGCAGACATATTTGACAGATCTGCTAATTGCCGCCATGGTCTCCAAAGCACTAGACCCTCTTTCCATTATTGCATTGTTTTGGAATTCTGCATTCTGTTGATTCTCGATTCTCCAAGGACTTCTTGGTCCTTCTTTAAAGTGAATTAGGACAAGCCTTCCAAGTACTCTACAGCACGAGAAGAAATTACATTGGTGCATTAAAAAGAAACCTTATTCCATAAATACAGAAAAATCTACCAGGGGTCATTGTTCAATCCCTCTTAATTGACTTAATTGACTTAAGTGTCTTAATTGACTGTGAACATCGGAATCGTTCAAGGAGCTGCTTTGAAAACACATGTCCCAGCAACATTTTCAATAACTGTGGGGCATTTAGTGTGTCGAGCACGGGAGGCAACGTTGATCTACTGCACAGCCTGGGGATGAATCTTTTCCTTAGCGCTGAAAAGAAGTTTGATCCATTTCCTACAAGACTTAGTGCAACTTTTGAAGATTTTGTCTTTCCAAGTCTGTTTGTTCCACATACGTTGGGCAGGGAGGGGACAAAATCCCAGAAAATACACAATCATTTCATAATGAAAGCCTAATAACATTCCAGCTATTTAGGAAGAAAACTAATTAAATCAGAGATGAAGTTTTGCCTACTCTTCATATTGTATCTACATATAAAATTCACTATTTAACTACCTCAAAACTTAAATAAACAACAGGTTAACAAATTACTATTATTCTTTTCATGCTAAAATGGTTCAACATTAATGTGACAAATGTATTTTTACATCTAAAAATGTCTGCACGTTTATAATAAACTGGCATTACTTCCCAAAATATTGGACATATTGCAATAAGCTAACCAATAGTGAATACAGCAGCAATACCATTATGATGCAACATGGACATCAAAGGTTACACCATTTCACCTAATGTTAAGGAACATAAAGTCAGGTTTACTTTAGGCAATTGAGTTGCTGTTCTTTCTGATTCCAAGATTGACTTGACCCATATGATGCTGGTCTCTTCTGCAGTAACGACGACACCGTCACTGTTCAATTGCAGGTTATCGCCCAAAACTTAAACTTCTGAATTTGGTTGTCTACCAATGCAGCAAACAGCTTCGTACGCTTCTCTCACTTCGTTGATTCGGCATTTCCTGGAAGCATTATTTTGTTAAAAGTTCAGGGTTTAAACTGTTCATTGATGTCAATTTTATTCATGAAGTAGCTAGAAGTTACTTCACTACAAAACTAGTTAGGTTTATTTCATCACTACATGAAAGAGTTATCACCCTTGTGTATCACGGGGATAGTTTATCTGATTGAATAATATGAATTAGTTCATAATTACATTTTGTGAAATAGGGCAACAAGACAACGTCTCCAATACAGTGAAAAATTTGAAAAATGAAATACATCTTGATTTATTTTAAAACAATGGCTTCAATAATTTGGTTTACCTAAAATAGTTCTTTATCTGCCACTTGATAAAGCATTTGAATTCATGAGGATCGAAGTCACTTGTCAACACACCTGAACAATATGACTTATTTAAATTGTCCATAAATTTTGATTCACTTCCAGAGAGTGCACCTTTGTTTCAGAAGAAACCCAACTTAAACAAACACACACATTTTTGCTCTGCATTTAAATGATGAAGAACAATGACAATATGGAAACAAAGAGAACAAAAAATTCTTGACTTACCTGGACTCTTCACCCAATGACCAAAATACACGACATTGAATGCCACTGTCATCGCCTGCGTCAATGTGTTTCAGCAATGACATTGAAAAACTAGTTTTTTCAACATACTCCGATTCTCCATTTTTCTCCTCATACGAATTCCCATGGTTTTTGCAGTGGTTTAATGTTAGATCCACCGTATTTCAAAAAAATTGGGGACCTATGTTAGTTTTGTACATGATACCACTAACAAATTAATGTCATATGTTAGTACAATACCCATTAACTGGACTCGAAGATATGAGGTACACTATTTAGAGTATTCTTAATTCTAAATCAATAAAATTTTATAATATATATAGAATTACAATGTCTAACGCAGCTGAAACTCCAGTTCATGAATTTGAATCAACAAACGATCTCTTTCCCCGAGCAGTAGAAGTATACTTACGACAAAATAGAGAAAAATTTTGAAAAATTCCAACTAGAATATAATTCTAATGCTGAAAAAATAGTCATATCTTCTTGGAACTATTCAGACGTAGATAAACCTACGCGTGAGGCTCTCGAAGCTTTGCTGCGTCCGGCAAAAAACTACCACGCCCGTCGTGTAAAACATCATAGAAGAGTGAAAAACATAAAAAACGACTAGAAATTCCAGTAGATGTGTACACTCAAGTTGGTACTTCAGTCACTGGAAAAAGAGGTTCAGATTGGACCAATGTCGCGATGTGTAAAAAAGGTGAAGAAGATTCTTCTACAA